CCCTGGATCTGGGCTCCTGGCAGGCAGTGTGGGGGTGGCCGCTGGCAGCTGCTGGAGTGGAGAAGTCCCTCACCTGAGACAGGTGACCTTGCCCTGTCTGAGAATCCCTGGAGGCTGCACTGATTCCCCGGCAATGACAGGGAACACAGGCTGATGACAAGCCACCAAGGTGCAGAATAACGTTTCCTCGCTGACACTTTGGCCACCTCTCCCTGGGCCCTCTCTCTAGGAAGCCCAGCAGATGCTCTTCCTCCACTTCCCAGCTCCCCCTGTGATTCCCGCCCCCCACCCCAGCACGCCTGGGTGGGGGACAGCATTTAGCGCCACTAAATGGCAAGCCCAGAGGTGCGGCGGGGGAAGGGCCAGGCACTGAACTCCCATCGGCTTCCTTCGCGAGATCACTGCCTTAATTTACGAGGCCGGAGCGAGTCTCATTTCCCCAGTGCGCGTTGAGTAATTAAGTATTAATAAAAGCATTACTGAGTTAACCACGGGGGCATGTTTAATTYATGGGGCAGCCCTGGGAACAGGACGAGCAGGGCTCAGTGGGAGATTCCTCCCTGGGCAAAATACTACCAGCAGGATGCCGCCCAGCTAGACCCAGGGCCCCCTCGGAGGGCCATTATTCTCATCCCTAACCAGAGGGACGCACCCCTAGGAGGCAGAGCCTGYCCTCCCTTCAGACCAGAGGCTGCAGAGTGCGGGCGGGGGAGGGGAGGGACTCTGGGATGGGTGGGCCCCAGAGAGGGCTCCCTTGGTGGCTACTGAGGTGAGTGACCTTGGGCAAGTCACTTAGCTTCCCTGATCCTGTTTCTCATCTGCAAACCAGGACCACTAATAACAAGGACTTCCCGGTGGGCTGCAGGAGGACTAAAGGAAACTGGGGTGGGAAAGGAGGTGGTCAGTGGATGAGATGGCTGGTGCTTCTCCTCCTGGCATGGAATTCTCTTTAGGATCAGCCTCCTGCCCCTCCCTAACCTAGAGCTACCCCCAGTTGTTAAGTGAGGTGGGGGGGGAGGTATACCTGATTGCTCCAGAGAACCCAGTGGGACAGTCCCTAGCAGGATACCTCCCGGGTCCTGGGGGTCTTCAGGGGCAGGTGGACCTCTCCAGCCAGCTGTGGTGAGTTAATTCTTCCCTCCCAACACACTGTCATCTCGGGCTCATCCACACCTCTGTGCCTTGCTTAGCAAACTCCTGTTAGTTCTCAAGACTCAGCCCTTCCTGGAAGACCCCCCACCCATGCAGATAGACCCAGGCAGAATTGATTCCTCCCCTTTCGGTGCCTCCTGGACATTCTTCAATTATGGCATCTACCTGTCCACCCACTCATCCATCACCCATCATCATCCACCCATCCACCCGTTCACCAGCCGCCCCCCATCCACCTTTCCACCCGTCCGTCCATCATCCATCATCCATCCACCCATCGCCCATTCATCCAGACTTTCCGCTGAACACCTGGAGTATGCATCTCTGATCCCACTGAACTTGTGGACAAGTCTGGGGCTTTCCTTAGACCAGCGGTTCTTGGTCTTTTGGGGATCTAGGACTCTCCCAGGAAAATACACGTATGTACACACATGTCAGGTGCAGCGTCCCTTTTTATGGATCCTGGTTGTCTCTGGAGGCAGATTGTGGCCCTGGGTACCATGGACACTGTGGGGCCAYGCTTAGACCCCCCTTCCTGGGGCATGGCAAGGGGACAGGCCTGGCTGTCAAGCTCCTGGGGGGTTCTCTTGGTTTGAAGATAACCGGCACACCTGAAGTCAGGCCCCTTCCAGGGGCCGGTCACTGCYGGTCTCCTGTCTCAGGGCACATCTGCTGGGCCATCCCAGCTCTAGGGCACAACTGTGGGGCTGGGACCTGCCTTGGGGACGCTCAGCTTCCTCCTCCGCAAGTCCCATCTTGCTCCCTCCACAGTGTTTTCCCAAGACCTCTTTCTAGTCAGCAGCCTGCTCTAGTCYTCATCTCTAAGTCTGCTTTCCAGGGAACCACTGGGCTTAAAGGCCCGCAGAAGTTCCTTGAGGACAGGGACAGTGGGTGTGTTACTGTCACCTGTCACTGACTCCTTTTATCAACGGCAGGCCCCTTGTAGGTGCTGCAGAAACCTTGTTTGAATACCCGCTAATGCKTTCTCTCGGTCCTCTGTTCTGGGCCTCTGTTGTCTCCAGCAGGGGAGTTCCCATCAGGTATCGGGAGAAAGGGACACCCCACCAGCCGAAGCCAGCAGGACTCAGGGGCCTGTTCAGAAAAACGTACTAGTTGCCAACGAAACTGTAAATAACCATGGGAACAGAAGACAGGCTACCTGGTTACCAGGAAGCAGGGGAAGGGGACTGGCTGATGTCAGGGCTGGGCTGGCAGGAGGGACAGGCTCAGAGGGAAGCTGGGAGGCTGAGGCCTGGCGTGAACGCTGCTGGTGGCGGGCACAGCCTCTTCTTATAGCCCCCGGGTCCTGGGGTGGAACCAGGGCCTCCTGCACGCCACCGGGCAGGTGCTCTACTGAGCTAAGCTCCGCCCCGGGACTTCAAAGTGAAAACCTAGAAACCCCCCATTTAGTTCCCACTATTGGAAATTCCTTTGCAGAACAAATGTCCAAGTGGCTCCTCTTTGAGGCAAGGATGGGGACCATGGTGGTGGGGCCTTAGTGCTGGCCACTCCTCTTTCATGCTGTCACTGGGAACGGTGTGTGACATTTCCACTYCTGATGTTCACTGAGAGCTAAGGAGAATGTGCCCAGCACCGTGCCAACCACTTTGTATATTATTTTATCTTTACAGCCACTTATAGATGATCATTCCTTCTTTATAGACAAGGAAGAGAGGACCAGCAATATGGCCGAGATCACAGGGCAGAGAAAAGCGAATCTGAATCTGGTCGTGTCCCCAGGCTGAATTCTTAGCTGCTCTCATGCCTTGCCTCTGTGAATTCAGTTTCCGCAGCCATGAAATAGGTGCAGCGGTTCCTGCTGCACGGGGCTGCTCAGGGTCCAGTAACCTGTGTGAAGGGCCAGAGGGCGCCCAGTGGCTGATCCCTTCGTCCTTCCTTCCCCATTCCCATCTTCTGCCTGTCTCTGCTCCCAGTCTGGGCTGGGAGGAAGGGCAGGCTTCTCCAAGGACAAACATCTCTGTCCCCAAGTCCAGCAGTGCCTGCCACATGGCCAGCACCGCCTGAATGCCGTTGCCCTAAATGGATGATCTGAGGGTCCCCACTTTTGTTTCTCTGCACTGGAAACTTGGAACCCAACTCAATAGCTAGTCCACGCAGCGAGTACCACTGAGGGAATTCTCCCGCTGCCGTGTAACTACTCTCAGGCCACCGGGACTTCAGGGTTTCACAGCAGATTGGAGCAGTTACAGCCGCAGATGATCCGGAGTCCCCAAGGCTGAGGCGAGGACCAGAATGAAGATGCAGGTACAGAGGGTCCTGCCTGGTGGCTCAGGCCTCTCCCACAGCACACTCGAGCTCGCGCAAGTCCCCGCTACAATGCCAACTGCGGACGTCCTCATATATTGGGGGCATTAACCTTYCTCCCACCGTGGGCTCCTGGGAGAGGCAGTAGGCATGTAAGCACTTAAAACCCGAACCCGCAGGTCAGCCCTCCTCCCTCCTCCCCTTCTGCTGGGGACAGACACCACAGCCTGGAGAGACCAGTCACATCCTCAGCTCCTGTCAACCTGTGCAAGCACCGAGTTTCCATGGTGACGCTGCAGCCCYGAGATGCAATGGCCGCAGACAGCACGGGTGGTTGGAGGGCTGAGACGGGTGAAGGCTGTCTGGCCTGGGAGGCCAGGCGGAGGGGCGGGGGAGTAGGGGAGGGAGCCCTCCTCTAGGCCTGGCTGGTAATTGCTGCTAAGTGAGGGGCTGTCATTGAGGCCAACAGGAGTGTGGCAGGAGCCCGGTGCTGCACCCTGTAATTACTGCACCAGACAGTGCTCCCTCGGCGTGGGGGGGGCAGGAAGTGCTCATCCACGGGCCCTGAGGCTGAGGCCACCTCCCCAGCCCCTTCTCAGCAGGCTCGCCTCCTCTGGCCCCTGGCCCCGGAACCTGCAGGATCCAAGGTGGACAGATGGGCAGAAACAGACAAGGGTGGGCAGCCTGTTTGCCAGCGTCAGCAGGGAATGGGAACCGGAGGCTGGTCCTCCATGGAGGATCTGAGGGCCTGTCCCGCTGGCYGGGGACCTGGCTCCACACTTGAGGACCCTTCACAGCAGGGTTCAGCAGCCAGCCACTGTCTCAGTCCCTCTTCCCCAAGTCAGGTTTCGCGGGGACACAGCCACACCCTTTTGTTTCTGTATTGGCTCTGGCTTCCCTTCATGCTACAACAGAGTTGAGAAGTTGTAACAGATGCCATATGGTCCCCAAACTGAAGTATTTACCATGTGTCCCTTTACAGGAAGTTTGCAGGCCCAGGCCAGTGAGTTCCAGCAGATTCAACAGGGCTAGCCTTTGATAAGAGCCCGTCCTGGTCCCCACTAAGTCGCCTCCTCTGGACAGAGGTGGCAGGCCTGCCGAGCGCTGCAGCCAGCGCAATGGCGCCACCTGCTGTGAGTGCCCGAGTACCCCAGGGGAAGCCCTGGCTGTAGGCCTGGGCTGGGAGCCACAGGTATCAGGCTGGGGCTTGCTCCCTGCCCACAACACGAGAAGACCGCACAGTGGAGAAGCCTTGGCCAGGTGGACGGAAGTGCGTGGAAGGCGGGCCAGGGATCCTCACAGGAGGCAGCACAGGACCCGGATGGAGGCGCAGGCCCGCCGCTCACTTGGCAAGGTTTGTCTTTTCTAGGTCCTGATCTCTTGGTTGATGAAAGGTTTAAAACAATAAGCCTAAGATTTAAATCTGTTACAAATACTGGCAAGAATCTTCAGAAAGACTCACATTACTTCCATTTCACAGAGAGGTTAAGTATTCACTTAAGGTCACATGGAAAGGGACAAAGCCTAGATTCAAATATAGGCTGTAAAAAACATGTTCAGCCCCAGGATGCTGTGCTCAGTAGATACTCATTTATTCTCTGCCTGCAGGTATGGGGGGGCCCTGCAGAGGGGCAAGGAGGAGATGCAGGAGGCCAGGATGGGCCTGGTCACTTAGGGAAGGCCCCAGCAGGGACAGAGAAGGTGGGGTCAGGCCTTCACAGCCCTCCCTGCCCCCACTCCCCTAGGCAATGTGAGTGGCCACTGGACCATAAACCCATTTATTTCCAAACTATAAATAGATCTGCTGAGAAAGATGCAGTCCAGGTGCCGAGGCCCAACACTGTCACACCCCCACTGCCCTGCAGTCCAAAGTCAGCCCCCCTAGAAGGCCGCTGTGCTTCTGACATCAGTCTTGGGCAGGGCCTGGCCAAGGGCCTAGAAGGACCCACCACTTTCTTCTCCACCAGGATCCCAGCGCAGCGTGGGCGAGCTCCAGCCAGGCCGAGGCTGGCCTGGTGTCACCCTGTTGACCAAGCTCTGAGGGAGGGGTAGGAGCCACACGCCCCTGATCTAGCCCGCCACAGGTGACTCTCAGGCCACTGCTCCCAGCTGCTGTGAAGAGCCACAGGGCCCTGGGCTTCTGCCAAATGCTCAGAGCAGCGCTGGTCACAGAGCAGCCTGCACCCAAGTTGCTCCGCTGGCCCCTCACTGCTGCCCCTGGGCCATGAAGTAGTCTTCCTCCTCGTTGTCCTCATCCTCTGGCTGGCTGCTCCGGAGCAGCAGCTCCAGGTCAGGGCTGGAGCTCAGCCCCTTCAAGGGTCTGGATCCACCTTCACCTGGGGACAGAGATCAGTTATGGACCCAAAAATGGCACACTCCCTGAGCCACAGCAGCAGCCAGGAAGGGAGCTGAGCCAGGCCCTTCAGGGCAGGGCGAGGGGGAATCAGGGGTGCCAAGAGGCGCAGGGAGTGACGTCACAGAATGGAGGCCTCTGGAAGGCTTCAGTTACCTCTAGAGTGTAGAGTTTTGAGGGCCACGTGCAGAGATATTCCCGAGAGGCAGAGGGCGAAGCCTAGCCAGTTCAGGAGGCTGATCTGATCGCCCAGCAGGTGAGCTGCCAGCAGCAAAGTGCAGACTTCCTGTGGCCAGAGAAGTGGGCAGGGGTGGTCAACAGGGGGCGCTCCTTCWCGGGGAGAGGAGGGCGGGGCCTGCCTAGCTCAGACTAGATCCCAACCCTCAGGACTCCTGGCCAGAGCAGGGCTGGCAGGCCTGGAGGGTGAAGAGGTGAGGGACAGGCTCCCCACACGGCATTCCTGCCAGCCCCACTCTGCTACTGAGGCAGAATGTCACAGAACTCTGCCAGGAAAAAGAGGGGCACAACAGACCCAGGGTTGGTGTGGAGCCTGCGCCAAGGGCTCAGGAACAGGGTTAGCTGCCCTGGCAGGGCACCTGTGGATGGGTAGCCCTCAGCTCCTTCGGGCAAATGCAGGGTTGTGCTGGGCTCTGAGGATGCACTGTCCCAGGGTCCTTCATAAACAGTGACCGCAGGTGGGACCTGTGAACAATGCACTCTGAGAACCACAGCTTATGCCTCATCCCTTGGCTGCCAGCCAGAAGGCCCTCAGGGGACATCATCTCTGCTCCAGTGTGGGGTCTGCCTAGTCAAAGACAAGAGCCCTCCTGGTCCTGAGCAGGGAGCTGCAGCAATGGTGGGGGAGGGGGGAGGGGGAGAGAGAGAGCAGGGAGGGCTTCAAGGCACCAGGAAAGTTTAAGACTGGCAACAGGTGGCACCGTCCCATGACACAACTCCTGCTGGGCCCATGGCAGACACTGCCAATCAATCATGGAGCTCTACTGATGAGTCTGGGTGGGGGCTTCTCAGCCTACGGCTCCAGGACACTGCCACACGCCCAGGGCTGGCACTGGAGTAAAATGTAACCACAGCCCGGGTCCAGAGGGGTCAGTCTGTGCACCCTTGGCTGGGAGCAGCTCTGCAGGTCTGAGGGGATGGTGGAGAGAGGAGAGAYAGGAGCACAGTGCCTGTCACTGAACGGGACACTCTGGTCTCTTCTCCAAAGGCCCAGGAGTGCCRGAGCTGGGGTGGAGGCTGGGTGGGGAGCCTTTATGGGCCCTCTAAGGGAAAAGAGGGTCACTTCCAAGTCTGTACCTTAAAAATGCCAGCAATGGAGAGAGTGAGGCTGGAGGTTCGGGAAACCAGGAGGAACTCCGAGAAACCCAAACCGAAGGCAAGAATCCCGCCAAGGAAGAGACTCCCAAGTACCCGCAGGAGCAGCCCTGTGTCCTGGAAGCGGAAGATTTTCTCAGATGTGGACAAGTGCAGACCTGGAGCAATGCGGGGAGAGAGAGCGGGAGGCCAAGGCCGGGCCAGGGCCAGGGCCACCCTGCCCAGCAACCAGCCTTGTCATCACTGAGGTGGACGACACACGGAGCCCCTGCTGACCATCCAGCTGGGGGAAAGAACGAGTGGTACAGAGTAATCCCACCAAGTGGCTGAGATCCAGGGAGACTGGAGGAGTTGGAGCCCCAGGGTAATTCAGGCGGGGTCCCAACAGGGAGTGCTGTGGACTGAGGGCTTCCCTGGAGGGTGCGGCTGGCGCTCCTTCAGACAGTCTGCTTGCCTTTTTTTTTTTTTTTTTTTTTTTTTTTTTTTTTTTTTTTGCCGTTTTGGGGACGGCATCCAGGGCCTCATGGATGATAGGCAAGCGTCCTGCCACCAAGCAAAAACCTAGGTCTTGCTAGTACACAGCTGTGGGACTTGGGCCAAGATGTTCCCTTTCTGGACTTCAGTGTCTCTGCTGATAAAATGACAGGATGGAACTGGACTGGAGTTTCCCTAGCAAGCAGCGCCATCGGGCCAGCTTCACTCCCTCCCTCCCTCCCTTCTTTGGGGACCAGAGATTGAACCCAGGGTACTCTACCACTGAGACACACCCCAAGCCCTTCTGATTTCTTTATTTGGAGACAGAGTTTTGCTAAGTTGCCAAGGCTGGCCTTGAACTTGCAGTCCTCTTGCCTGGGCCTCCCCAGGGCTGATGAGCATTTCTCAAAAAGAAAACATTCACCTATGTGAACAGATGACTGCACAAAACACAAATTTTGCCTAGGGACTTTTAGGAGTCTCTCCAACACTGTCCCTCTGAAGGGACAATTCTCCGGGTCCCCAGCAAGATCCCCATGGTGTATCAGCAGAGGGTGGAGTGAGCTCTGTACTAGACACATGTGGGAGCTGGGCACTGACAAGCCCTTGGGCATTTTGGAAGGAAGCACCGAAGAAGTAGGGGACGGCTCACCCCTGTCCCCCCGGCAGCCAGTGGACTCACAATGCAGGACATCCAGCTTGGGCTGGCTCCGCAGGGCTGCCAAGGCGCAGGCAAATGGAAGGGAATTCGGGGAAGAGCAACATAAGTAATGAAGGCGCTTGGGGGATTAATTTACCAGAAAAGATTAAAGGAGCTAAATCCATGCAGCTTTGCTAAGTGGCGACTACCAGGGGCTTTCGGATGAGGGTTTGCAGATGGGGGAATGGTGCAGACACCCAGGGGGGCCGGGAGCGTGGTGTTTGGTGCAGGGGGCATAATGAAGGAATGGGGAGGGATTTTAAAAAAGAAAAACATGAGGCTCTGAACAGAAGTCTCCTGGACAACGGGCTGCAGAATAATTTTCTCAGGGGGTTTGGAGATGCTTCACTGCTTGAAACTTAAATGGATGTGGGACAGAATTTTCTGTAATGACCCTGAGGACAGTCGGGACTCTGGGAGGAAGAATGAACAGACAGAGGACAAAGACTAATCCCAAAAACCGGGAAGGAAGGTGGTGCTGTGCCGCCCGCCCTCCAAGTTCTCTTTCCTCCTCCTCTGGAAGCCCCAGCCCATCCCACACAGTTACAGGCCGACATGTGAGTGAACCTCCTGTCCTGCTTCCCAGGACACCCTGCCTGCCTTAGTCCACCCACTCCTCTCATCCGCCATAAACACGGATGGTCTGGGGAGCTTCTCTGACTCGCTCACTCCACCCTCCTAAAACAGGTGGTGACTCTGCCCTCCTAGGGGCAGCATGCAAGGTAGGGAAGAGTGGCTCAACCGCTTGAAGCCAGGAGGCTGGGTCCAAATTCTGGCTTCCTTGTGAGCTCTGGGACCCTGGGCAAGCTCTCTTCCCTTCTGAGCCTCAGTTTCTTTCATCTGCAAAACCAGGTGACAATTACAGTATCAGCCAGTTTTTTGGGAGGACTTAATAAGTGTTTGACACACACACACACACACGTATATCTATATACAATATATATCTCTATATAATATATACACGTATATATATATATATAAAACAATCATCTCTTCAGAAACTAATACCCCTACCCAGTCCTCTTCTACTCCTGTGACACAGCATTGATCTATTTCTGAGAATGGAGGCCCCGTGATTTAATCACCTTACACTAGGATCCACCCCTGAAGCTTCCAGCTCCTCAACACTGCCACTTTGGGACCAAGCTTCCAGGACATRAACCTTTGGGAAGACAAATCACACCCAGACCATAACATGCACACTTCCTATTGTGTATATGCCAGGTTACTTTCAATGATACACTAAAGTAGAAATTTGTAGGTAGGGAACCYAAATCTTAATTTTACTAGATAATGCCAATTATTTTCCAAAAATGATTATTCCAATTTACTGTACTACAGGAAATATGAATGCTTTCTGGCATTTGTAATAGGTTTTTGCTGTTGTGTAGTTTTATTTCCTATTGAGCTGTTTGCCTTTTTAAAATAAATTCATGTATTTTTTTCATAAAAAAAAATAAGTATTTGAAATAATTAAAATAGCCAGGCATGATGGTGCAGGCCTGTAGTCCCAGCTACTCTGGAGGCTAAGGTAGGAGGATTGCAAGTTTGGGGCAAGACTGGGCAACTTAGTGGGACCCTATCTTCAAATAAAATATCAAAAGGGCTTGGGGTGTAGCTCAGTGGGAGAGTGCCCCTGGGTTCAATCCCTAGKACTGGAAAAAGAAGAACAAAAAAAAAGATGAAAATAGTCCCTTCAGCACTCTGTACAGTCATTACCACCACTGTCCTTATGTTTTACACTCTTTCTGCAGCAACTATCAGACTGGATTCTAGCCACTTGCTTCCGGGTCTATCCAGTCCCAACATGGGTACAGGGGTGGGGCTGCGTCTTCGACCTTGGCAACCTCTAAAACTAGCACCACACAGGGATCTGGGATTAGCTGTTCTGAGGTGCCCCGAGGTGGCTGGCCCAACATACCTTCAAATATGGCAAACAGAGGGAAGAGCCCCAGAAACATGAGTGGCTGCAGGTGGAACATGGTGTCGATGGGGTTCTGGAGGCCTGCAGGGTAGGACACAGAGGTCAGGAGGTCTGGCCGGTGCTTGCACAGCCTCCAGCCTGCCTGCACCTGCCCCGCCCAGGCTCGCCCAGGCTCACCCAGCTCAGCCTTCTGCAGGAGCATCTGGGTGAGGGTCCAGCGAATTCCACCGATGAACGAGGCCCCCAGCACCAGGGAGAAGCCCTTCACGTTGAACTGGGTGGACTTGTAGGTGAACATGAAGAGGCCCCCAGCGATGAGGAGGACCACCAGGACCAGGGCCGCACGCTGGGAGGAGGGGAGCAGGTGCAGCTGACTTGGGGGTCCGTCACACCCAGAGCCGGGGGTCAGCATCTCCCCTGGCTCCCCCTGGGGCAGGAGATCTTCTACCTCAACCCTCCCAGGGAAGTCGCAGACAGCCCTTGCCCACTGACGTATGAAGGGTTGACAACTGGCATGTCCTCAGTATCCCTTCCTACTCTAAAATACCACAGTGCTTTCTGAGATCTGTTCCAAGTCCCGAGTGGCCTCTCCGCCTCCTTGGCCTCCAAATGAGGACCACCGCTTTGCACAGCAGGGCTTTCCAGGACCCTCCTGATTTCTTCTGTCAGCTGCGGACACACTTGTTTCTAAATACTCTGCATATTGTCCCTATGCCTAGGTCCCTTCTCAGAAGAGGGAGTTACTGCCACCTGGGCTGGGCCTGTCTCAGTCACCGCTCAGATTCCCTCTTCTACTCTGGGCATACTGCGGGTAGGAAGGACAAAACAGACGGGGTGGCCTCACCAGCTCCTCCAGCTTGAAGATCAGAGAGAAGATCAAGATGAATAGCACAGCCGAGGACTTGGTCATTGTGTACCTGGAAGTGGAAATTACCCACACTGCACTGCTGGAGTCGGGGTTAGGACCCGCCACCCAGAAGAGAGCCCAGAGCACAGATCAGCAGGCTGGAAGGGGGAGGAGGCTGACTTTCCAGAGAGCAAGTGGCGCTGCTCAGGGCAGCAGGGCAATCTGGGTACAGAAGATCAAAAGGAGCCTGCCTGCGTCACCTGGGCCGATAAGGGACCTGTCATCGGAAGACTCTCTGAGGCCCCCGATTATCACTGGGAGACAAGGCTGCGTGTCTGACATCGAGGAGTTCTATCCTTTACCTAGCCCTCGGCCAAGACCAGGAAAGGAAGAACAGATGAGACGGGAGGACACAAAGAGGATCGTGTCCTCTGAAGCCAACGCGACACAACCAGCTATCACCCAGCCCGTGCCCACACTGGGCACTGATGTGGCCAATGCTCTGTGGCCAGCCCCTTCCTCGGCTCTGCTGTTCTGTCCCTGCCTCGACTGCAGTGCTCTGTCCGCATCCCCTGGCTTCCCCCGCTGCCCGGCAGGCACAGCGTCCCCTCTGCGCTGGGCTTACGGAAGAGGCTGGAGACTTCTTGGAGAGCTGCTAGGTGCCAGGGAGGAGCTGAGAGAGCAAGGGCTGGTCCCAGAGAGTGATGGAGTGGCTGGCCCATCGGCCAGGTGCGCAGACAGCAGCCGGTACTCACAGCGAGACGGTGATGTAGAGGAAGCTCCAGTTGGACAAGCCCACGTCAAGTGCTGTTGCCAGTGCTGTGGAGACAAGGGGCGCCCAGGGCTGAGGTGGCACAGGAACATCCAGCCAGGTGGCCGCTACGTCCTGGAGGTGGCTAAGGAGCCCATTTTGCCCCACTCTGGCTTCCTCTCTGGGAACCCGAGGCTTTCCTTTCTACCAGCAAWTATATGGTTAACATCTGGCTAAAAAGTGGGGCCACCGGGCTGGAGTCCACCCTGACTGGGGGGTGCTATGCTCATGTGTCGACTGATTTCAATATCCTCGCCCCCACTAGACTGGAACCTCTCAGCCAGTCAATCCTCTTGTGAAAACCCTTCTCCCTGGGGACCAAATGAACTCAACAGGGCACCTGGCCCTCCAGGTTCTCGGGTGGCATCGAGTGGCCTTTCTAACTTCACACACTGCTCGGTGTGTGAAACACCAGCACCAGCTGGTGCCACCTGTCCCTCAGTACCTGCCTACTCACACCTGACCTAGGACACAGATGACAGGCAGGCCCAGGTCAGGCTCCACTCTCAGTGCTCTGGGGCACCTCTGACAGCCCACCACGGGGCGCGGGGGCCAGGATCCTGCCTGCGAGGCGCACGCACATGCTGCAGGCTCCCTGCCCGCCGCAGGGCTTTCTGTATGTGTGGCAGGAGGGGAAGTCGGGGAGAGCTCGAGAGATGGTGGGGCRAGGGGAGGGAGGCGCCCCACGAAGAGGTGTGGGGCGGGCAGAGAGGGGACTTGACCTCGAGGCCCAGAGGGCTTCTCTCTGGTCCTCTAGCAGCCCTCCTTCTGCCGGGACACRTACCTGTGGGGGCCACTCTTTTGAGGTAGTCGGTCCAGCTCAGCACCACKCGGGCCCTGTGGCTGGAGCACTGAACCAGCGCCCTGGACAGGGCGGAGAAGAGGAAGATCACGGCCAGGTGCAGCATCGTCATGAAGAGAGGGAAGTGAAAGCTCTGTAGAGCCCAAGCAGACACCCCGCGCCTCAGAGACCGCCCTGGGCTGGCGCCCCCTCCTCCCTCCAGCTGCTGTCGGGTGGGAGGGGCTCTCAGCTGCATTCCAGTTAGACTGAGAGACCCTTTGTCCCCACTGTGGAGGTCCAAAAGAGAAGTGGCACCCTGGGGCTCACTCCCAGTTTGGTGCTGTCTCCACTTCAACACCCGCTGGCTGGCCCATCAGCCTTGCCCAAGAGCCTCTGTGGGCCAACAAGGCCATGCCAACTGTGGCACCTTTGACCCAGCACCCTGCACTGGTGAGGCCTCAGTTACCTTCGTCAGCCATTTGTTGTAGAAGGTGATGCCGATGGAGAAGCAGTAGTAGAGAAGGACCAGCCCCAGGGTCAACACTGCCTTCCACACAAAGGCCACGTCAAGGGCCCACCTCCCCATCCGCGGAGGCTGCGTGCCCCCGCTCCTGGGCCACGGGACAGCACCTCTCCTGAAGACAGCTCACAGAGGAGCGGCGCTGGACCACTTTCAACAAGCAGATGCCCTGGCTGGAAGGGTCCTCTTGGCCTCCATGTTTGGAATGGTCAGGGGAGCCCCCGGTGGAGTCCTCACCTAAGGGGCTGGTGGCCCAGGCCGACCTGTTCCATGGTTAGCTGGGTGCAGGGCTCAAAGGACCCCAGTTCTGTTGCTAGAAAGATGAGAAGACAGCTGTGGTGGCTCTGCGGCTCCCACACCCAGGCCAGCACCCCCAGAGCCCTAGTCAGTCCACTCCCTCGCACTTCAGGCTGTTCTCCAAGGGCTGTTATCAAAACGACCTTTCCACACGTAAACCTGATTGTGTTGGACCAGTGCCCGGCAGTGTCTCACGGACAAAGGCCAAAACCCTTTCTGGGGCTCCCAGGCCCAGATCTGGCCTTGCAGTCTCGCCAGCCTCAGCCTCACACTTTCCAGGACGGGTCCAACGGGCTGCCTTTTGGTYCTCCCAACACACCAGGCTCTTTCCCGCTGCCTGGAGGAACGAACGCCCCTCTTCAACCATTCCTCAGTCACCCTGCTTTTCTTGGGCACAAAGGTCCTGGGGATGTCCCCACCCACCAGTCTGGAGATASAGGTGGTTCTACTATCCCTTCCCAGCACTTCTGCGGGGTGTGATCTGAGTAATGTCTGGTCCTCTGCAAGGCCAGGAACTTGAGGACAGACAGAACCTACCACACCTGACACTGGGTGAGTTCTCCATTCGGTCTGATGACTCAGCGCCAGACAACATGCTTGTCATTTTCAGGGGACTGATCTCTTCTTCAGGGGTTGAAAGTGGATCAGGAAACCTGTACCTACCTGGCCCTACCCTCTACCAACTGCTCTCAGAGGCACAGGGTGCTGCCTAAACAAACCACTCCCTGCCACCCAAGCAACTCCACAGCCCCAAGGAGTGCATGAGCATTTGTGGCTGGAGACGGTGGACCCACCTGTGCCTAGGGAACTGGGGCCCAGCATCACACCTCTGCTTCAGCTGTGTGTCCCCTCCTCGCTGCCTACTTGGGAGAGGCCCCACCTGCTGCAATGCCATCTCCTGGAAGCCTTCTTAGAAGGCTGACCCCCAGCCCAGCCCAGCCCGTGGGTCTGAAGGGAATGACCACACCTGCCCCCGATGTCTCATCTCCGGAGTCCCTCCTTTCCCAGCACTGTACTCTTGGAACCAGTGCTATCGCTTCCCCACCCACAAGGCAAACTGGGCTCCAGGGCTGCAGTTCTCTTCAGAGGAACTTTAGAAATCTGTAGTGGTGAACCGGGGGGATACCGGAAGCATACAGGGAGCAAGGACCATGAGGCGTAGCCCACAGAACCAAGAATTATTCTACAATCTGTATGACTTTGAGGTGCAGGTGGAAGATTGGCCTATGATCACCTGAACCCAGACCCTAAATCAGGCATAGGTGTACACACGCAGCAGCTTTTCTATGGCTCCACCATGCACTGAAAATTCCCAAAACTTAAACCACTCATGGTTTCTGAGCTGTGGCACACCATGGCTGTGTGAGGGTGTGTTTGTGGCTACCATGTTCCTAGGTGTTCTACAGAGAAGGGAGCCGCTAGCCACTTCACCCTCACTCTGGTTCTGTGCCCAGGAACCTCCACGTAGAAACCCATTTCACTGTCAGTTACTTTCCCTTTGCATTATGTTAGGACACGCTCATTAAAAAAAAAAAAAAAAAAAAATAATAATATATATATATATATATATATATATATATATATATATATATATGTATATGTGAAGGGCTGGATTTGGTGGCACACACCTATAGTCCCAGTGACTCAGGAAGCCAAGGCAGGAGGATTGCAAGTTTGAGGTCAGCCTTGGCAATTTAGTGAGACCCTGTCTTCAAAATAAAAAATAAAAAGGGCTGGGAATGTGGTAGCTCAGTGGAAAAGCACCCTGGGTTCAATCCCAGTCCTGCCAAAGAAAAAAAGGAACATGCTGGAACCAGTCTAAAGCTGACATACCTCCCCAGTGTGGACCCCAGCTCTGATTCACCATGAACCTCAGAGGAAGAGCAACTGCGACTTGACCTCTTTACCCTGATGTCTGATCTCAGGTGTCCCTCCTGCCCTTTCCCAGCACAGCAGGCACCGCCACTCTCCTCCTCTGCTCCTCTGTCCCCAGCTCACTCAACCCCTGGCAGCTCCATCTCTGCCAATATCCCCAATCATCGCATCTCCTGACCTCCACTCCCGCCACCCCAGCCCCTACCTCTCTCCAGATGACTGCAGCAACCTCCTGCGGTGGCCTCTCTGCTCCTCCTGCCACTCCCAGCCAGACTCCTGCTTCTGTGACTGAGTGGGGCAATGGGGCTTCAAACCCACATGGTGCAAGCTCGAGGCCCACTTTCCTCTACGCCACTTTCTCAAACTTGGTGTCACTCATGTTTGGGGCTGGATAAATCCTTGTGCAAGGTAGGATGTTAGCAGTATCCCCAGTCAACACCTGCGAGATGCAGGAATATCCTTAGCCCCTGCTACGCGTAACAACCAAAATTGTGTCCAGACATTGCCAAACACTGCCTGGGGATCACAAGTGCTCCTGGTTGAGAGTCACTGCTTACGCTACACAGGCAGTTGCAGGGCATGTTGATACTAAGGGGACTTTCTTCCTAGCACTTGCTCCATGGGTCCTTCCAGTGGCTTCCAAGTTAGGGCCATCTGTTTCCCTTTCCGGGATCAACCTGCACCTTCTGCTTACACTACAGTGCCTGCTCAACAACGCAAGGTCCTCCCTGGGCTGTTCCAATCATGCCTTTCCTTCCAAGAGCTTGTCCAGATCCCTGTAATACACTCGCCCCCCACCCAGCTCCATCTCAAAGTCAGCAACACTGTTTCTTATCAGCATTCAAAAGGTAATTCACTTACCCAAAACACAAAGACTCATGTCAGCTAGAGGGGCCAGCCAAAATCACAGAGCCACATACTCAATGTACATTCATGACTCACTACTATATCGGAGCACTGGAGATACAGGCACGAAACTCTGTGGTAAGGGAGACCAGACTTACGGGGTTAAATGCTCTTTTCCAAATCTCACTTGCCCAAGAGAGGAATTCCACAGTGTGCCTCACTTTCCCTGGGGAGCAGCAGCCACAGTGGGGGTAGGGCTGTGCACTGTTGTAGCACCTGGCTGCCCTCCATTTTCCCAACTTCAACACAGYGGTGCAGCTTAGTGCTTAAAAGTACAGGTTTGAAGTTAGAGACCTGGAGCAAATCCTAATGCTTCTACTCTAAATGAGTAGACTCTGGAACTCAGTTTCTCCAACTGTAACGGGAGACAGAACCATCTAGCTCCTGGGAAAGGAGTCAACAGCATTAGGTACATACAGCACTGATGCTGGATGGTGTCCAGTTACAGCAACACTTCCCCAGAGGCCCTGCACTGACAGCCTACTCCTACTGACCTCCTCTCACTTCCTGTCCCGACTGCTTCCGAGTTACTACACCTTCCTCCAGTTGCCCCCTCAAGGGCCAACTCTCTCTTATACACTGACCACTTCCTCTTTCTACAAAGAGGACTCGGACGCCAAGACCCTACAATCTCTGGCTTGTCTTCTGCTCTTCTCGGCTCCTTCTTCAGTCTTCTAGCTGACACCCCCTCTTCAACTCAACGTGTAAGAGTTGGCACCTGAGGGTCGGATCCTGGCTTCGCTTCTCTCTTCATTCTCATCCTAAGTACTGCATCCAACCCAAACCACTTGCCAGTGATGTCTTTACATTAGCCAAGCTTTCCTGTGAGGGCAGGCTTGTGTATCTCAGTGTCCTTTTGGTAGCTCCACTCCAGACATCTAGATCTTAAGATGCCCTAAGAATACATCTAAATTACTCCCCATGCCCCCAACCTACTCCAAAGTCATTTAGTAAGCGCCAGTGTAATGCAGTTACTTAAACCAAATGCACACATCAGAGATGAGGAACACTTGACCCCCTCTGGCCTCAGTCCTCACATCCTGCCCTGTCAGCTCCACCACCAATGACTTCTGGACCCGTCCACTTTTCTTCACTTCCCCTTCCACAACCACAGTCTCAGCCACGTTATCTTCCGTTAYCGCGGAGCTTCCTCTTTTGTCCCCACAGCCTGGAGTCCACGAAGCAGCCAAAGGGGTGGCCTACACACAGGAAGCTGACCACGCCCTCCGAGGGCGGACCCCGCTCGTCGGCTCGGCCCGCGAGGAGGCCGCCTACCACCTGGCCTCCGCCGACCTCTGCCACCCCCTCCCACCGCTGTCCCCGGCCCCCGCCGCCCGGCTTCCAGCGGCTGGTCAGGCACATCGAGTCCGCGTCCTCCGACTCCGCCAAGCGCCCCCATCCTCCAGACCTCCCACCAGCTGACGTGGCCGTGTCGGCTSGTGTCTCCCGCGGAGCCGGCCTCTGCGAGCCGGTCGGGGTGTCGGCTCCCGCCCGGCGCAGGGCCTGGCACCTGCAGGTGTTCCGAGTGCCAGCCGAGGGGCGCGGCGGGGCGGGCGGCCTGCAGGAGGCCGGGCTCCCCGCCCCTCCGCGGACCSGGCCGGGCGCCGGGGCGGAGCAGGAGCCAACAGCGTGCAGAACCGAGGCGGGACGGCCCCCCACGCCAGCCGGACCCCCTCCCGGAGCTCCCGCAGCGCGCCCACTCACCTCCACCGTGGCGCTCGCGGCCGCGATCCTCCCGCCGGAAGTGCGAGCCGGGYTCCGCCCCCGAGCCGCGGGAGGGTGGCTTCCGCCGGAAGCCGCCGAGGGGCCGAGCAGTGAGGGGGCSGAGCGGGGACCCTGTGCAGAGGCTGCGGCGGGAGCCGCTGTATTGGCTGGAGGGGGCCTTCCTCCGCGCTCAGCCAGACCCCCGCGTGCCCTCGTGCGCTGGGCGCCCGCGCCCACCTTTTGTTCAGCCCTGTACTGTGATCGCTTGTCTCCGGCGCGCAAGCAGCCACTTGTCGTGGAGCCGCGGTGCCTGCTACTGTCCTGCACACAGTGAGCACCCCCACGGTGGTCACCTATTTACCTTTGTCAAACAGAGGGTTTATCTACATGCAACCCAGTGCCAGGCAAGCATGCAGCGAACCACGAAATCTCTCTGGGCTCCCGCTTCTGGAAGCTGCAGCCAGCTGGGGAGTAATGTCAGGGACACTGAATTTTTACTTAGAAAGATACAGAATAACATTTGTGAAATATTTCGTCTGAAGCCTTYTAAGAATAATTTCAAGAGGTTGAGTAAGAGGAGAGTATCCCAGAGGAAACAAGAACCTCAAGAGGGGCTGAGAAAGTGCCACGCTTGCTGGGAGCTCAGGTGGTTCAAGAAGGTAACAAAAACTACAGTGGTTCAAGTAGCCAAGGGACAGGTTGCAGTGGCCCCCAGACGCCGGCCAAGAGCATTCAGATTTGATGCATCTTGTGGGATGGGTTAAAAGGGGCAGTGTTTATGGACAGTGAGAAACACTAGGCCCGGCAGGTGAGGGCTGCACACCAAGACCCAGTTTTGTGCTTTTTGCTCTACTCCAGTCTCCTGGGCTCTGCACTGTGACTGGCTGCAAACATGGATCCTTGTGACTCAGCTGGGCTCCCAACCCCTCTGAACAGAAGGCTCAAGGCCAGAGTGTGAGCAGAGCTTCCTGCAAACTGCTGCTGTCTCCATTGCCAGCTGGCATCACGCTGGCATCAGTTCATTCAGTGCTTACCAAGCACCTACAATGGTACCCGTCGCTGCCCCAGGTCTTGGCTTTATTCAGTCCGAAAGGCCTGTGTGGCATGTACTTTCTATGCCTTTTGAGAGAACTTGTTCTCATCCCCTCCTCTCTCAGAGGTGAGAGAAATTAAAGTATCTATTTTCATCATTACTGACATTCATGCCACCAAGGCTGTGGACTGGAGCAAC